CCTAGTCAACACATGGTCCGAATTCATATTCGACAAGCTGCTTTCCGGTGCTATCGGACTGCAAACAACGGGCGGCGAATCGAGATATGCATCTGGAACCGCAGTGGCACTGATTTTCTCGGTCGCCACATGGTCAGGATTCGTTAGGAACCTTACTGATGCAGTCATCCACTTAAAACCCACGTGAAACCCCAACACACAAATCATCAGTGTCATCAAAGGGCCCTTCACTCAGCACCAGTTCCATCAACACCGTGGTAGTCTCTGGGTCGCACATGCCGCTCACGCCGTAGTCGTGGCGCCACGACAGCATCCAAGGGCGGAGGTAGCTGGGCCGCTCCATGTCAAAGGCATAGCTCAACCTGAGCAAAGGGCCGGGGCAGGTGTGTTGTTGGAGTCATCAATCCTTCAAAGGTTTTCGGTCATTTTTACATATTTTTACTATCATCAGGCTTAGGGTTTACGTTTTCAGGGGGACTGTGTCAAGGTTTAGGGGTTTGCAATGAATCACTGTGTGGGACGCTACTCGGAAAGGCTGAATTGCATTTTGTGGGTGAGTGGCGCAGCATGGAATCCATTTAGCAACAATAATTCCAAGATTACATAATTATTATATTAAATACGTGCCACAGTTCATCCGGACCTGGAATAAAAGCTAACACGAACTTCATTTCCTTACTTTAATTTAGAATCGTCTGGCTCAGCTGCATAATCAGGCAAAACATGAAACCACTCAGCGAGTGACACAGCTGACTCTTTCTGCAATGAGGGCCAGGCTCAGGCTTCGCGGGGAAGCTCTCGTTCAACCAAGCTGCGAAGGACTCCATGTCCGCCTTGCGTGTGATTGGATTGGAAGGCTCTGCTGCCACAAGTCTTGTACAGGCATGCGCGCGCAACCTACGCGCTAGAAGCTACGCTTCCTGAACTGACTAATAGGATCCATAACAAGATAAAATTGAATAAGTAATAATAATAATAGGCATAATTACATAGCAGATGATTTGTTGGCCCTGGCATGCATCCGGAATTTGCAATCATGTGCCAAGCTCCTTGTTCGGGTAGGTCTTCGACAAGTAACGGTCTGGACCCCCTGCTGGCATCACGGTCTGCTCGAACCTGGATTTGTGCACAATGCGCATTTGGCCGAGATGCGCACAAACCATGACACAGGAAATGGTCAGCATTAAATCATTAAGTTCGCAGGAGAGATGCCACCCAACAACTTGGGCAACCCAGGGCATGCTCGCAGTATTGAACTGTGTCCCCTCTCCACCCATGGCCGCCTTCTTGGCCGCACTGCCTTTAGCATACTCACCAGACTTCCGTTTTTTCGGCGCCATGTTGAGCACAACGGACACGGTCTGAACTAAACGTGCTGCCTGACGTGAACAACCACTTGATTGCACAAGCAATCACTCATCGGGATGGAAGATCGTACATGATTTGGTGCAGAACCTCTTTTTGAACGCTTGTGGCACTGAGCTGGAACATCACACAGTGTGTCGCCCCGCTGGCAAAACTACACAGCAACAGAATAGGTGGCGGCAGTCGGTCGTGTCCACGCAGACTCAGTCCTGGCAGCACTGTTCACGTTCACGCTAGGCTAATTAGTAGAAGGAAGGGGCATCGCTTGCAAGCTGTTTCTAGCACGCAAAGGCTGAATGCGCACTTTAGATGTCCCTCGTCTGTAGGCCTCCGGACCCACCAACCCAATATCAGCCAATCCAACTTAAAATCTGAAACCTGAAACTTCCATGGCAAACACCCTGATCGAATCCCTGCTCAGCAATGCTACATTTTGCACTGCGGACCACGCTGAGCTGGATGTAACAGCAAAGCTTTGCGGCAGGCGCAAGGGAATCTTCACTTCACAGAATCTTGTTTCGCACGTAGTTCTCTAAGAACAGAAAACGACAGATAAATACAGGACCATTTGGCATTCGGTTTCTCGTTAGTCATAAATAGCATTTCTAAACGCGGGGTAAAATCAATTGGCTAGCCACTGGCTGCCATAGATTCGTACAAACATGATCTGCCGGGCAGGACATGGTAAACCAGCACGCCGTGAAACGCCCGGACTCTCGAAATTGGTCGCGCGCAGCGCCCGGAGTGTCGGATTTCGTCGCGTGAAGCGCCCAGAGTGTCGGATTTCAGCGCGCGCGCGACGTGCCCGGAGTGTCGGATTTCAGCGCGCACGCGACGTGCCCGGAGTGTCGGATTTCAGCGCGCGCGCGATGTGCCCGGAGTGTCGGATTTCAGCGCGCGCGGGACGTGCCCGGAGTGTCGGATCCTACCTCTGATTTGACACTCCCACGGTTCTGTCGGACGACGCGCTGGGAGTGTCGGATCGGACCTGGGATTCGACAATCCGGGCTCAGACAACGAACGCTGGGATCCGACACTCCGCCCACGGCTCGGACGACGCGCTGGGAGTGTCAGATCGGACCTGGGATTCGACACTCCGGGCTCAGACAACGAACGCTGGGATCCGACACTCCGCTCACGGCTCGGACGACGCGCTGGGAGTGTCAGATCGGACCTGGGATTCGACACTCCAGACTCAGACAACGAACGCTGGGATCCGACACTCGGACGCCTGCCGCAAGGCCGAGATCTGACACTGCCGTGCTTCTGAAAGACAGGGCTCACGAGTGTCAAATCAGACCTGGGATTCGACACTCCCAGGCCCAAGCGGCCAGCCCCGAGCATTCCTTAGGAAAAAATTAAAAAGAGAAAATTGCCGTAAAGCGCTGTGAGTGTCTGATCCTGCCTGGCTTTCGACACTCTCAGAGGTCTGCTTTCGCAGGTCTCTGAGTGTCAGATCCTCCTGCGCCCGCTGCACGAGGTTTTATCATGTTTTCTCCAACACCCCAGATATGTCCTCCTAACAACCATGCCGCACCCCATTTTTTTTGGATTTTCGGACTCCGAAAACGCGACGTCCGAAACAGTAGTTTTCAAGCTACAAAACCCGAAAACCTGCAAATGTTCTCGCCCCATTCGCTTGCGCACGTTCCTTATTAACCAGCAAAAATCTGATTCCCGAGGCGATAGTCGGTTCGCCAAGACACCCCTGAAAATGAGGGCCTAACAGGTTTAGGATGGTTTAGGATGGTTTAGGATAGCTTAGGATAGTTTAGGATGGTTTAGCGGGATGTTGAAGATTCTCCTCACAACCTGGAGCGTGAGCATGTGGACTAGCGCTCTCAGCTAGCTTTTGCCAGTGTCTGGTCAGACCTGGAGATTTCGAAAACAGACTCGTAGACCAGCCCTTTGGACTTGACCACAGGTTATGCGCAGCGCTGCGCTATTCTGACAGTCAGTCTCCAGGTCTGCCGCCTGCAAGCGGCCGGGCTTTTGCTTTGGCCTTGGACCTTGCGTTCAAGATCCTCTGCACACGACTCATGGCTGACTTCGCAAGCGTCTCAGCTCGCTCCCAAGGAACTCCTTCCAGCCACGCTTGTGCAGCAGCTCGAAAAACAGTGCTTTGCTCCGCCCGTTGCTTGTATCGTCGGACTTGCGCGTTCTCACCACTGTCAGGCGCCCGAAGCCTGGCAGCAAACAAATTCTTACAGAAGAGCGAAAAACGGGACCTCAACACAAAAACAGTGATGATGGCGAGCTCAGTAATGATGATGATGATACGATAAATTTAGCATGTCTACTGCTCATTGCGGCCCCTTTCACGTAAATTTATTGTCTTCCGTGACCCCTCAGAATCAGGCCTCAGTCGGTTCTGCTGCGGGCCCAAAGCAAGTGCAGCTGGCTGAGGGCCACCAAACCTCCCAGGTGTTCTGCCAGGCCCAAGGCGACACCTCAAAGGGGCTGGGTGTGGACCAAAACCATATTCAATTCACGTCTCGAAACAGACGCCCTGACGGGACGCCTGGCAGAAAAAACAAACGCTTAAAATTCCCTTTTAATGTTACATGGCCGGCAAGCGGCGCTTCCACATTCAGCATCGGTTCCTGGCACGGTCTCACGAAATCATGTGGCAGGCGTGTCACGAAATTGTAGAATACTGGCGCATTCCATATCAGACTGCAACCGACGACCCCTGGCCCAGTCATGCAGCAAATGCAAAATCACGTGGGAAAAACCGGATTGCACATCATACGAACACAGAAAAACAACATGAACCGTACTTTCAAATTCGTGTTGAGTTTCTAGGCACGCATGCGCCTGCAAGCCTGGGAACAAGAAACATAACTGCAGAAACTGACTTTATAGACCATTCACATCCCACTACCTGTGTGTGAAATGGTGCTGATGCACTGTCACGGCGTCGGAACAAGACCTCTGAAACGTGAGACTCGAAATCTAGAGGGTTCGACAAATAAATTTGTAAATGCAGCATGTCCTGGGGCAGGCTGTCGTTCACAAAGTTGGTCAAGTACTCTGCAGCCCGGTGAAGCCCGTACTGCTCCAATGTGGGAATGCTTTTCTCAATCTGCGAGATCGTATCTGCCGGCACAGACTTCTTCTCGGCCATGACTGTGTCAGGGCATGATCACATCCCTAATGATGATGATACTTTATTATCAACAGTGACTATCATTTCTTAAGAAACGCTTCGAAAGCGGTAGCACAATGCGAACCCCCATGACTAGACCATACCCTGTACCTAAATATCCCGCAACCCTATGCGCTTTGAATTTGTAACATCTTGCCTGTTGGCAAACCTTCGGGCAAACGCTCCAGTGCCAAGAGACGCGGGTAGAAACGCACGCAATACGAGAATTTCTCTTGGTGCATCCATTGCTTCGTCCTAGACCAACAACGGAACTGGTTACACTTACTTCTAACGTCACTCCAGAAAGCATGTGGGGGAACACAATGTGACTCTGGGCATTTCAAGCTGAACTTCTGTGCTGACTGATACTGATTTGTTGCCACATTACTACTCGAGTTCGTAGATAAGTTCATGACATTGCCTCCCCTTATACTTACACTTCGTGACAGGGCCTCTGAAGACCATGATAAGATGTTTCCAGAAGTCCTCAGGATGACATCCGATGGATGGTGCGACCAGTTTGCAAAGTGGTCTTCAGATATTTCGGAAGCTTCGAGTCCTGCATGGGGTGATAATGATTACATAAAAACGCGGGAAAAGTTTCAAGGGACATTCCTGTGTCGACCCGTCGTTCCAGCAGAAACTCATGCGGCGCGCCAGGCCCTCCAATGCCCTGCAAGGACACAGGCACACTGGCTGCAAAGAAGGATTTCCTCAGCCGGAACGCAAAGATGCCGTCACAAGAATTTGTCGTTCATTTTCCTGACCATGGAGTTGGAAAATAAGGGTGGACAAAAGCATGATATGAAAATCAAAGGTCCAATCCCTTGTGCGATCCACCTTGAAGACAAAGCGCTGTTCCTCATGAGGACGGTGGATCTTGCGCTGGAGAAAATGCTCCAGATGGCGACGGAAATCATCCGAAGTCTCTGCCCTACGGCAATTGTGGAGGATGTCCTCAGCGCACTGGCCGAAGATCTGATCGATGTCCTCATGACTATGTCCGCTTCTGAGGTTCCTGATCCTTGCTGCGGGCAGCGTCCCGTTGCTGACAAGTGCCGCCAAAAATCGAACCACTTGGTTGTTTTTGGCCTCCCTGCAACAGTTGTCAACCTGCAGGGTGAGCCGCAGCTTGCTCAAATCAGCGCCCTGCTCTTGGATCTTGGTGAGGACGGCTGCCAGTAATTCGATTTGCGTATTGGAATCCTTGGCCAAGGTTGATTCCGACAATGCAAACGCCAAGCACCAGCCATGAGCCAAGATGCCAGTCATGTGAAGTCGGGGTCTCGCTGCGACCAATCCCTCCATCGACTTGGCCTTCATCATTGGATGGCGCGGAACTCCAAACTTCCCCTGATCCATCCCATCTTGGATCACCACCAGCTCCAGAGTTCTGTTCCGACTCTCGGCTCGGTTCTGCCAATAGGCTACCCGGTCAAGGTACTGAGCTCGAAGGTGCGCTTCGTAGAGCTTTTGTTGGGCCACACGAGCATTCAGAAAGCGACTGTACGCTGATATCAAGGCTTGATGCCGCAAGCATTGTGTGCATTGAGCATGAGAGCTCGTGGCCCGGAACTTCAGGAAAGGAAATTGCGAATTCCAAACCTGTGAAAATTGTGAAAACTAGCTTGCGGTCCTTCATGTGAGGAGTAAGGCAAGAGAAATAGCCTTGCAAATGAAAAATGCTCAGAGGATTCCCTTCTTAGACAAAAACTTGGCCGAACTTCACTTTCAGATTTGACTTACAGAACCTGTTGAGCAGTCCTAGCCCCAGCGAGGATTCGTGACAAAACGAAAGATATCATGAAATGCGTCAGCGAGGAGACCCGCCAGAACGTAGGGAACGAAGCCGGCGGCGTGACAGCAGACTGGATCTTGTATTGCAGGTAGTACTGCATCATCGAGCCTGGTGGAAGCCAGCGAACGTCCGAAGCCTGTCGCTGCGCTGCAACAATCTCTGGTATGATTGTCACGCCATGCTTCCGCTTCCGGGGCTTCCGGACCCCCTTGCCGTGGGGTCCTGCAGCCTCAAGTTCAGGAGGCGCAGCCGAAAGGTCTGGCTGCGAAGGTTGCTTGGCAAGCTCGGCAGCGTAGCCATCCAGTTTGTACAACGCCTTATCTTTCAAGCGCCCAATCTCTGCATCATCGCAGTCCATGGTGTCATCAATGTCCGGAAGTGTCTCACCTATTGACTCATGAATCTTCCAGAGATACGAAACCACGTCAGCGCGAGCTGCGTTACTTGCACGGGAAAATGGCTTCAAAATGAAGCGGCGGTCAATGGGAGCACAGGAAGCTCCCGACTGCGCTGCCTTTTGCAATCGCAAAAAGCGGCTGGCACCTGCAACAGAGCAAGCTGCTAGCAAAGGATTTTTGGACGCCACATAATAATTAGCTAGCATAGCCCGCGTGCTCAATCTAAAGCACAAAAGTTGCGAGAGTCACTTGAAAAATCATTCTTACAAGCAGGCGCTTCGTTTGTGATAGACATTAAATTAATTATGCAAGGCATGCTTAAGATCATATCATTGGGCTATGAGAGGGATGTGTTTATCTTTGCATAAAACAGTTTCAGACTGCGCCATCTAGTCCAGGCAGAATTTAGGTTTTCCATCTAGAGCACGCGTCACTTTACACATGTTTATTATTACTGGAGACCTTGTAATTGATGAGCTCAGGCGCCGATGCCGTGAAGCTTTCGCCAAGCCCGCACGCATACACGCATCTCAAGAAAGCTGAACTGGACTTTGGCATCTCTGTCGGCCGCCTCTTTGTAGAAACTTGTCAGGTTCTGAAAGGCCTCAGACATATGTTTTGAAGTTCTCTTTGGGGTGTGTTCTTGAAAACTGACTTATTATTTAAACATTGGTCTCAGTAACTCACGCAGTCTGCTGAACCCAGCACCTCTTTTCACAACAAGATTTTCTGAAAAATGTCGCGGCACTGTTTCATCTTGATCTACTTTGTGGACCATGCTCCAATCCTTGCGGAACTTCACCAATTGCTCAAAGTTCTCGCGGCACTGAAATTGCTTGTGGCATGATTTCCTGCACCGCTTGTAACAAGGCTTCTGCACGAGAAGCTCCAGCGCCTGCACGTTTGTGCACTTCGCCCGTCTCTGCTCAAGAGTTGGTCTGCGCTTGGCAGCTTTCCGAACTTTTGCCGGTAGTGGAGGTGGATCCTCAGCATCACTCCCAGACAAATCCTCTATAACAGTCTGCCTTGAGGGCTGTGAAGACAATGTGTCATTCGACCGTCTCCTTTTCAGAGGGGGCTCCGCTGACTCATCAACAGTCTGCTTCGAAGGCTGTGAAGACAATGTGTCATTCGACCGTCTCCTTTTCTGAGGGGGCTCTTCTAACTCACTGTCAGTTAGGCCCCCTATTGCACCACTGCGTGGCATACGTGATGTCCACAGCCATCCAGAGCTTCAGGAAGGCAGTGTAAGTGCGCCACATTGCGTGCAGGCTAGCAGTCTAGATTTCCGGGTGCAAAGTGCAGTGCAGCAGTGTAGCAATTAAATTTATACTTCTCGCCGCAATGGGGAGAAGATACGACGAGGGCCAAGGTATGACGCCACTTCGGACTGAATCCTGCCGCTGCCCTAGAAAGTCTGAAGCCTCGGAATCTCAGAAGGGGCTAGTACTGTTCCTTTAACCCTGGGGATGACGTTGATTTCTTCGTACACTCCTTGGGCCTGGCATGTAAGCATTGAAGCAAGCATGAAACAGGCAATGCGTTCAGCAGCCAGGAGACCTAGCAGCAAACATGTACTTTTCAACCAAGCCCTTTGAGCTGAAATACTAAGTCAGCGGTAACTATAACTCCTTTTCCGGGGCCCATGACCCCTCAACTGAAACCGTGAGAACATGTAACGCAGGAAACAAACACACGCTTGCACTTCCTGATATGGGCACACACGAACTTAATATTGCCACTCCGCAGCAAATCAGGCAAGCCCCGAGTCCTCGTCCCGCGGAGAAGAGTTGATGGTACTTCCTACCTGAGTCAACAGACATGAATTTACGTTAAACTGTTATTAGCTCGGACCTGCAGGCTTTGGAGACTGAATGCTAAGCAAAAGTGAGGCCAAGGCTGTTGCAAACTTTCCGTGCCCAGCTTCACTTTCATGTGTCATTGCCTCCACTACCTGTTCGTACATAAACTCTGTGAGAAGGGCAAGACTCTGTCGATCTGGCCCGTCAAGAAAAGGCATGAGAGCTCGCAATACCCGAATGCAGTGCAGGCATCTTTCGGCGGGTACCTCACTGATCCATGAGCCTAGGGAGGAGACGTCACTCTGACCTGTACGGTGACCATCATCCGAAATTTCGTTATCGACATTATCATCGTCATCATCGCACGGAGTTTTCGTTGACGGCAGTGGCGTTGATCCACTCAGCGACCTTTCAGCAGGAAGCTGATTGAATAATGGCTCCCGCACAGAACTTTCACCATCATCATCATCATCATCACTGTCAGGTACTCGAAACTCAGCAGAGGCAGGCGGTGGAATAGCACGGAAGGACATGAACGAATGCTGAATCACTTGATGAATACCTGACGAGGCCTTAAGAAAGGATACTGTTATGATTACTATGTCCTCGTATGAAATCAATCTTTGGGGCGCGAGCCACTTCGGTCATTAGACTGCTGGTAGCAAGTAGCTTCAACACGGCACTGGGCTTGATGCAGCGAAGTCAGAAATCACAAGACATGTTTCGCAATCAACATGGCACATGTTTCTGTGAGGCAAGCGTGGCAATCCAACAACATGCGGTCCTGCTGCCAACCACATGCAGTGCCATGACAAGATCGTTTCGCACATCGTTTCCAACCAACTGAACAATCTCTGATCGTTTCTTGCGCCAGCATGTCTGACAAACCTGGAATTTCTCGTGGCCAAGCTTTGCAGGACCTAAGAACTCAGTATCCGCTATCAGATTATCATCATGTTTGCAAGGTGTCCAGGCTTGCCAGGACATGCTGTGTGCAGAATGCAAAATGCAAGGCACGGATCTTGCCAAACAAGATTTGGAAATCGTAATTAAGCCAGAAGCCCAAAAGAGGCTGCCAGCAGCAAGTCAAAGTCAATGAATTACGCAAATCCTTCGGGCTGGACTCAAGCTATCAAGGGCTCAGACCCTAATATTCATTTTCAAGCACCTGATGATGGGGCAAGAAGGTCACGGCGCATGGGTCATTCGAAGAAGGATCTCCGTCGCCAACTGCGCACAGGCTGGCACCACGATATTCCCCAGGCAATCCATCCTCTCGTCATCGTCCTCGGCCTTCTCCCTCAAAAGCCACTGCGCGAGCGGGATCTCATTACGATGATTCCACTTTGTCTGCAGCAATGCCGCCAGTGGCCGCAGCTCCATGTCCTGGCAAGTGAACGCTCAGCAACATAAAAAGTACAGGTGACAAACCGCTTGTGTCATGCATGCCTCCAAGCAGTCCTGGAAGGGCTTGTCGCCAGCTTTCAGCGCCCAAAAGAAGACTCTGATCCGATTCGCCTAGAATCTGTCATGATCATGATGATAACAGACTGGCCTTGACTTTGACACTCCAACTCCAAACCAACCAAATTTCAATTGACACTGATTGGCACGCCAAGCCACAGGGAGACCTACGTTGTAGAGGCTGACGCTCGACCAGCGCAGGATCAAGCTTCGCGAGTTACACTCCTGGGCAAGTGGCATCTCACTTATTATTAATTAATTGTTAAGTGAAAATATCATCAGGTGAATTTGAAAGCAGCACGTCGAAAGGTCGTGACATGTCTCACGGTTGTATTTCCTTCTTTCAATCTCTTGACTTCTCTAAGGGTTTGTCTCTCCATACTGCGTGTGCGCTACTTGAAAATATCTGCCCCAACCAGTCCTCGATGATATACTTCATGACCGCCTGCATCGCTTCTGTTTTGGCCAGCAACCCCTTCACGTTCTCCAAGAAAATCATCCTCCTGAAGAATGCTGGCTAACGCAGCAGGAAAAATGGCTCACTGACAAAGCAGCACAGGAAATCTCTGCAGTATCCTTGCTGGCAACGTATCCCACACGCGGAACACCTCTCGTATGAGAGATGATCTCGGATCTGTCATTCCTCTCTGAAATCCTGCAGTGGACGTTCCCTGCAAGGCGATGACAACAGACGTTATCGGAACTGAATCATGCTTACTGCCGTTACTTTAAAATTTGCACACAGCCGCCTGGCAGGGGAAGCCTCCACCGCATGCAACAGCAGGCGTGAAGGCAGGCTGCTTCTCTGCCCGGAACGTGAGCACGTTGCTGAAGATCGGGGCCTGGCGCAGAAGGCCGTCCTTCTGCCGCGCGCGGAGGACCGCTTGGCAATACTCCCTTTTCTCAACCTGAGCTCACGTGTAATCAGAAACTGCCCACCACAACCCAGAAGCCCCAACTGTCTTCACGCCAATCACTGCCAGTCAATTAGTCTGACTATGCCCAGGAACATATGCGACGGGGTAGAAGAAACTCAGTTCGCATCACATCATACAACATAAAGGGGAACTGGGTGCGAAAGCTTGCCGGAAGGAAGCAGGCACTCCTCCTACCATTTTTTTTTGCGCCCTGGTTCGTGGGCGC